CATTGTTACATTCCATCATATTTCAGGTATCTCAAACTGCTCAGATTTTCTCACCAAGAAATACTCAGGTCCTGAAATTCAAAAGACATTAACCTCCACACCATTCAAGAATCATTTCTTTTTAAATCTATAGGTACTTCACTCATTCTTTCATATTCAATCACAACCAATTGAACACCGGTTAACAAAAGACAACACAATATAGTTCCAAATCAAGTTTCATCATATTTAATATTATTACATTCAATAAATACTCAGAAATGAGGGGGGGAATGTCAGGTATTACATAACCAGAATAACCAATTATGCACAATTCATCAATACTCAACATTTCACATCAACTATAAGAAGAATCAAGAATCCACTAATTGTAACATTATATGTATATTAATAGAACATCGGAATTACCTTATATACACACAGTAGAGGATATTCTGTCATATGACATAATCCGGTATGGGGCCACATGTGTCAAGTGACAAGTGCGGCGCATAGCAATTCTGCTCGAGAAATTTCCAATTCAACAACTGCTGAATTACGTGTGTATAAGCAAATGAATTTGTGTATTAGATTTAGATCGATCTAAATCTTACTTCTTTCTGGTCAAGAATAGCCTCTTGTGGCACAATGACATCTTGTTCAGCAAAATAGTTTGTATCTGTAATATACCACTTGATGCAAAGAATCAAGCACGGCAAACTAGCCATATAAAACACATACCAGATTGCCATGATGCTTGTGAAGCTTAATGATGTAGCATTTAATCCAAAGGCTAGGGCAATACCACCTGCTTGACAAGCTGGAATAACACCAGAGTATAAACTCAATTTCTGAGGATCATTACTGAATGCACCAATAATCCAAAGTCTCATATCTAGGAAAAGACCAAAAGCGATACCACCACAAACATACCAAACATATGGACCAGCATATGTTTTCATTGACCAATCTAAATCAGGTAGTTCGGATTCTGGACTAGCTGGATCAAATTTGGCTTTACCCCAAGCACCATACATTATGTAGAATCCAATAAAGAAACAATTTACAAAAAAATATGTCAATCCTAACCCCATGTAACCTCTCATCTTTCTTGATTTCCCCTTTTGATCAAGTAAAAAATATAATGCAAATGCTCCAGGAATTTGAACTGCCCAAAATGAAAAATTATTTAAAGTTCTTGACCGAACATTGAACATAAACCCATTCAAGTTAGCTGCAGGTGCTAAAATTGTCTCCGCTGAAAATAATGGTAAGATCATCAATTGGATTCTTCTCTCCATTAATGATTGTTTCAACGCTACCAAATTCTCTTTCAAAGTTCTATTTTGGAAAACTGCAATCTTGGAACCATCATTTCTAACAACATTTTTGGGATGTTTGAGGAAAATAGCCATTACTGCTCCACCAAGGTTTATTATTATAAAGATCAGATATAAATACCATGGAACACCAGCACTTCTTTCTGTTTTGTCTTTACTAACACCAATAGCAATAACAGACCCAAGAGCAGCACCCAAGTTAATAACACCCCAATTACAAGCAACGAAAAACCCTTTATGGTTTTCGGTAGCATAACAAGTAACCAAGTAATTTTGTGTTGTCCATAAGAACCCAAACAATATACCAGCTGCAACACCAGAAACTAAATAAGAATAATAACCAATACCAAGTTTATCATAAAACCAAAATCCAGAAATATACATTGGATAAGCCAAACTTCCCAAAACCATACAAACATTTGGTCCTAGTTTATTGATCAGTGTACCTGCAAATAAGGAGGAAAACAGCCAAAGAACATCACCAATAGCAGTATCGATATTTGCAACTTGTGCATAGCCAGGTTTCCCACCACCAGCGCCTAATCCATTAGTAGCACAGTATAATCCAGCAGTACATCCCACGATTGCAGAGCACCACAACATTTGAACAAAAGGTGACCCCCATCGGAAACTTGAGAGATGGGTATATTGTACATCAAATTGACCTTCAGAAATATCTTGCTCAGATGATGAATTTTGTGGCTTCACTTCAATCAGCTCTTCAGTCTTTGGATTACTGGACATGATTGGATTTGGCTGAAGTTATTTTTAAATGAACAATTGCAACTTGAAGTCTTGATTAAAAGTTTAAATATGGAATTGTCAAATTCATTCGCATCCTTATCTTGACATTGATCTTGGGTTTTATAAATCCAAAGGTCTTATTGTACTCGCATTTTTCCCTAAGTAGACGTTGTATCAAGGAGAATACTGTCTTAGTAAAATTTTGTTGATTCTTGATAAGGTTTGATCTTAAATGGGGGTTAGATAACATGTAGTTGAACTTGATGACAAAACTATCAGGGTTATCAGGCTGTATCTATGAGGTCCTGCAAGTGGCTATCCATCCAATGAGCTATTCTATATAGCAGTTTGGTTACAGGACAATGGCTTTGAGAATTAAAGAGTTGATCAATTCGAGTGGAACAAAATATTAAAGCCCAGGGGATCATGAGAGGCCTTCTATGACCGAGCTGCGAGAGGTGGAAATATTACACATGAAAAATGGCAGACGTAATTGTCGAAATTAATTAAGTACTGATCTTTATATTGATAAATTTATTTAATTTATAATGTAATTATATTTGAATTGGTACAGTTGGAGAATCTGTAATTTATAATCACGTCTGCTTGGAACATGATGAGACCATTATATTACGCCGTCAACAGCGACGTAGACCAACAGGCCGACGTTAGCTAGCGCCTATATATTGATGAATTAGCTGTAGTATTAGTTGGATGAGGAGAATTGCAATTACGAACTACGTCACACGAATTATTGATATAATTATATTAATATATTTATTTATATTATATTAATTATATTATTTTTTTTTTTTTTTTTTTAATGTTATCTGATGTGTATTTATAAATG